GCCCGATAATGAGACTCAGAAAGAGAGAGAAAAAATGGGGGCTGGAGAACTGAGGGAATGGAGATAGATTGGAGCCGAAAGCGGATTAGAGAAGGGGAGGGCTGAAAATGTGTTGGCTTTTTTTTTTCACTGACATGATTTGCTAACTTTGGCAGGACTGGCTGGCTATTTCTCTACTGGCTTTGAAACTGAAACTCACAGGAGGCTTCAGTGAAAGCATCTGATCCATATTGTGGAAGCACAACATTCAGTCCTACACAAAGTGAATCTTGCACATACAGAATGAAGATAAACACACAACAGACTTGAATGTGTGTGTGGGTGGGGGGGGGGGGGATGTTAGCTACTTATGCAGAGCAGTTCATATATGTATTCAGTTTGATGTCAAGTCCCAGATAGAAGGCTCTTCTGTTCTGCTTGTGTTTCATATGCAACACATAATGAACGCTCACATTCTCCAACTCGTTTAACTTTTTCTCATGTGAGTTGGTGTTTTGCAAACAGGATGTGCTAGAAAACTTGTTTTTTTTAAGTCCAGGTAGAGATGAGTTTTCTTTTTTATGTAACTGACAGTTTGAGTGGCAGCACTTTGAGTTTAAACATAGAAATGTGATGTATTTATTATTGACTCGATCTTTTTCCATAATGGATCTGTTTGTAAAACACAAATGTAATATCACACATGATCTCATTTCTCTTATCAAGCCAATTCAAACAAGAAATGTTCATAATTTATATCTTAAAGTTTAAGAATCTCTCGGTCTGTCATCTTTCGTAACCGAGTTGCCGTTTTATTTTTCTGCCACCTCTCATCTGCACGTCCTTCACCTTCAAGCCTGAAGAGCTGACCAACGTCCTGGAGATCTGTAACATTGTCTTCACCAGCATGTTCACCCTGGAGATGATCCTTAAGCTCACAGCGTTTGGCTTCTTTGAGTACTTGAGGAACCCGTACAACATCTTTGATGGCATCATTGTCATCATCAGGTCTGTGAATCACCAAATGCAAATCTTGTTTTGTGTATTTTATGTTTTGCTTTTGTCCAAACATGTAATTAACACGTAAATACTGTACTTGCTTTGATGCCTTAGAGTTTCCTCTTTTACCTCTTCAAATCACTCCAATGTAAACTTTTATTCCAACAATTATTGCCACATATCTTGGTTATTTCACCACATATTCCACCCTCCTTTTCTGTGCACATAATAACGCTTTGGAACACACAACCCCAGCGTGTGTGAGATCATCGGACAGGCAGATGGCGGTCTGTCAGTGCTGAGGACATTCAGGCTGTTGAGGGTCATTAAGCTGGTGAGGTTCATGCCTGCACTGAGACGGCAGCTTGTGGTGCTGATGAAGACGATGGACAATGTGGCCACCTTCTGTATGCTGCTCATGCTCTTTATCTTCATCTTCAGGTAACACGCTGATTTCAGGTGCTGTAAAACAGAGGAAATCGATTAATAAAGCACTGTCAGGAGAGGGAAGCTGCGATCACAATACACAGAACAGGAGAAAGTTTGCACGCGCTTGTCTTTTTGTCTATGCACAAACTGCTTAAACCATGTCAATCATTTGGTTGCATGTGCCTTTTCACTTTGAATGAATTAGGGATACACAATATTATCGGCATGGTATCAGTATCGGCCGATATTTGCATTCAAGTTAAATATCGGATATCGGCCATTCCATCAAAATAACAGATATATGCCGTTGAAACCAGTTATTAATCAACAGATTTTTGAGAACAAACTTATGTATACCATTTTTATGCTTGTTGGAGAAGAATATTTATACCAAACGTAATAAATCAGAGTACCGTTCTTTAACAACAAAAAAAAGTTAAAAGTTTTTAACTTTCCCCCGACTTGTCTTGTCCTTTGTCTTTGTCAAGACAAAGACATTGTCTTTGTCTTTGGGGGGTCATTCCCCAGAAATTTTTGAATAAAGTAGTTGCCATTTCCTGGTGTATTTTAACAGTTGTTTAACATCTAGTTTTACCTACATAAATAAACACTTGATTCAGTACTATTTTAGTGTTAATGGCACAACAAGAAGTAGCCTGACCAACAGCTCTCCTTGTGTGAATAGAGCATGCTCTGCTTCTCTCACGCATCTTAGCCACAGTCTAAGAAACATTCTGTAGCCTAAATTAAGTTTTAGGGGACAAATTCACAAGGCAATATGAAACGATAATAATAATCACTCCTTCTTACCAGTGACCTTGCTTAAAGCATCATGGTCATCATCCATAGTAGCTTAAAATACTTAACAGTGGGCTAGGTCTACTGTAACGTCACTGTAATGTAGGGTCAAGATGCAAACGTGTAGCATTAACACATTATGAACAACATTCAGGAATTGTTTCTATAAGAACATTATCAAATAGTTTATATGAACAGTAAGATCGCTCCGCCCACAAGGAAATGTAACCCAGGATGAGCTAACCTTGGACAAACAAAGATGGCTGTAAGGATGGAGGTAGTGAAACTCACAACATTACCTGAGACATTTAATGAGGCATTTCTGCCTAATCAGCCAACATCAAGGCTCACTCATTTGCCAAGATTCTTACATTTCTAAGTATTTTGCATACAAAACCCCTCAATAATTCCACAGTTTGGTAACATAAGATAGAACTTTATTGATCCTGCAGGAAATTGTTGTGCCAGAGTTTCAATACAATGGAATATACACAAGGAATCACACAAGATATAAAAAATCCCAGTAATTAAGATCTAACACAATACTGTTTTCATTGTCTTTCATGAATTAAGTGATGTTAGAAACAAACATTATGTTACAGTATCCTGGGAATGCACATATTCGGATGTAAGTTCAGTTTGAAGACGGAGGCAGGAGACACAGTACCTGACAGGAAGAACTTTGACTCCCTGCTTTGGGCCATCGTCACTGTCTTTCAGGTAACAAAACTAAACCTTTTCACCCACTTCCTTCTGGATTATGCTCATGATGAGAAGCATAGCACATATCCAAACAAGCGGACAACACGTGCCCTGATCTGTGTGAAAATCTGCTCTAGATTCTCACTCAGGAGGACTGGAACATGGTGCTGTACAATGGCATGGCGTCCACTTCTCCCTTTGCTGCGCTCTACTTTGTAGCCCTGATGACTTTTGGAAACTACGTGCTCTTTAATCTGCTGGTTGCCATCTTAGTTGAAGGTTTCCAAGCTGAGGTGAGATGTCTTTGCATCTTACCAAGCGCAGTGCACACTTAATTTTCTAGTAAATCACAACGTGTTCGCTTTTTTATTTTACTTTTTTTCTTTTTTTGTCCAACACTCACATGCTTGATAACATTTTTAACTAGCTGGTGTGCTGGGACAGAAAAAAAAGTGACAGTTCTTGTTTAAATTGTTTTGTAATGGCTACTTATTTTTACACATTCAACCATTACTTTTCACTCTCTGCTTCATTTTGTCTACTAATACTGCTATCTCGCCTCATCCAACCTCTCTGTCTCTTTAACAGGGCGATGCAAACCGCTCTTACTCGGACGATGACAGGTCTTCCTGTAATTTTGACGAGAACGACAAGCAAAAAGACTCCCTGCACCTCTCGGGTATGAAAGCCTTCAACAGCTGTGAAGCATTTATTTAGACTTTTTCTCACTTCGGGAATTATACAACCATTTTTGACAGAATAATGGACGTCATTTTCAAACAATATAAATTAAGTATTTCATGATGACAGCTTTTTGTTTTTCTAATCTGTTAAAATTGACATGTTTGTTTAGATTCAAGGACAAATAACTACAGATAATAATATTTTTCATGCACTGAACATCCTTGTCAATTTTTTTGGAGGGATTTTGCTGTTCTTTTCAAAATTTGCTACATTTATAATCCGCCATCACGAAAAGCAGGTGATTCTGTAATTGCTTTGTCTGTGTGCATATGAGCACATGTGTGTTTGTCTGCCTGATAACAATGTATCATAAGAACCACTGGGCAGACTTAGTTGAAACATAATAATAACTGATTTTGCATCCACAAATAATTCAAGGTTTAAGCCAACCTGATTAAAAACAGCTGCCAGAGCTAACTGACTTTAGCAAACACACAAAACATGCATTTTGAGCTAATAATATTTGATGTGATATAGGATTGGAGTCTTCTCATACACATACTCAGAGCGCTAACAGAAATGTTTGTTTAAAAACTTGTCATGCAAGGTCATATGCATTCATTGTATATGAAATTACACAGTTCAATTTAAATTCTAGGAGGTCATTGTTTATCTGAAGCATCAAAGTCATGTCATGTTCACAGCAAACCTCATTAAATGCACCGTTCCCAGTTGAAAAGTAAGCTCACCCCATTTTATTTACTGCATACTCAGGGCACCTTTTTCATCTGCTCATCTCCTCTCATCTCTGCTGAGTTAGCAGGAATGAAGTCAGAATCTGCCACTGACTCCTGCTGTATGAAGCCGCATTTAGCCACACATTAGGAAGGCATCTGATGATTTCTGATCACAGTTCTCAGTCCAAATGCGCGTTTAAAATGTCAGAATGCATGAAACAAAAAGTGCATTTGAAACATTAAAGTTCATAACGAGCAGTTCTACCAAAAATATGGTCATAAAAGGATAAGGCACTGGCAGAGATCCTCTTGTTTCACTATTATGAGTTTCTCTCTGCCTTCTGTAAGGCAATTTATTGTAAATTAAGCCTTCTTCTGCCCCTTGGTGGTGGCTATAACATTGTTTTAGGACATTTATTGTGTATAGTGATGGAGAGAGCTCGATTTTTGTGGAAGCAACTGAGGAAACACAAACAAAGGGAGGCATGGGTCTTATTTAATACTCCATCCTTTGTTCCTTTGACAGATTTTTTTTTTTTTTCCACTTTTTCTCCTCACCTACTCCTAACACCATTGGTCATGTCTTTGCTTGCTTCCCTACCTTTACTTTCTTTGGCAGACCCAAAGATTTGTACCCTGACCCCAAATGGGCATCTGGACCCATCTATGTTGCCCACTGGTCTGTTTCCTGGAGAGAAGTTGACCTTTACACTTGGCTCAAGACAGAATAGTGTGATTTCTCTGGGCAGGGCTGACCTGGAGAAGAGGGCTGTGGTAAGTGGAATGGACTGTGAGGTCAATGATTGTATTTTTTAACTAATATAAATGAAATGGAGCAAACTGTGTGAAATAATGAGAAAATATGAAAGGGGTAGGTCTTTTTTTTTTTTTTTTTTTTTTTTGAAGAACTATTTAAGTGTCCTATTGGTTTAGGAAAAGCATGTATTATTTCATAATGGATGTTCATCAGCATCAAACATTTTCTCTCAGTATCCAGGTAGAGGTTACCACAACTGGGGTCGTCCACTCCCTCCCCAGCCTAACCCCATGTGGGCTCGTCGTTCCAGCTGGACCAGCCTGGGAGGCCGACCCTGCTCCTCCTCATCACCCACCGCCAGTCCTGCCTTCACTCCGTCTTCCACAAGGCCCTTCTATGGCTACGGACTTGGAGGTCTCGGGCAGGTGGTCGGAGGAAGCCTTCGCATTCGTGGTCCTCGCGCATCCTCATCCCCTCAGCATCGCCACCTCCATTATATCCATCCAGATGAGGAGGAGTCTCTTCTCTCTTCCCCTGCTGTTGCTCCTCACTGTCTTCAACTTCCCCAGCCGAAGCTTCGTGGATGTTTTGCCCCTTGTAGGGACCGCAGAGCTCTTTCGCTGGAGCTCCCCCACGTGCTGCAGGTTCAAGCTGGACCCCAAGAACCCCAGCAGCTGCTGCACCACAGGAAAAAGAGCCTCTCTGGGGGATTGGTTATTAGCTGCAGTGGTGACTTAGAAAGAGTTCACCAGGACTGCAATGGGAAAACCCCACTGTCACACCTACGGCTGCCTTTGAGACGGCAGACACAGCAGACTAGAAGGGAAAACCCAGAGAGTCACCTGATAACTGACGTCTTCCCCCAGGTTAATGAACGCAGCAAGGACAAGGAAGACCTGGACGATGACATCGATTATGTGAGTCACTTTAGTCCTTTTTAGGGAGGTACTTAAAAACTAATTACTTTCTGTTTTCTAATGGCACAGTTTCAGTTTTACTGATGCAGACAAGCATCCCTGAAACAATGCGAGTGTGTACAACCCCCCCCCCCCCCACCCCCCACAAAAAAAAATCACAGTCTGGTTTAAGGATTAGAAACAACCAAACCATTTATTTTAATGTTGAAGCACAATATTTTATGTGTACTGTAATGATCTTGCACTCTTGTGTGTGAGGTTTTTTTTCTATACTTTGTGTAAAGCATGTTCTCACCATCACCTGGTCCTCAAGGGAATCCCATTGATTTCAGGGTAAACAGGTCTGTGCATGAACAAAATGAGGTTAATTAGAAAAGACTATTTAGACAAGGGGCATTAGGGGGGTTACAGATAATAGTGTTGGATGATGCGCCAAGCTGTTGCAGTAAAAGTGTTGCACGTGCAAAAATAATTTATAAATGGAGCATTTTCTTTTCATTTCTGTTTGTCTGTGCCTCCATGTGCGAGTGTCTTTATGTGCTCTGATGTTTGCCTTCCTCGCAGAGTTTGTGCTTCCGCATCCAGAAGATGTTAGAAGCATACAGACCCGACTGGTGTGAGACAAGAGAAGACTGGTCCGTCTTCCTTTTCTCCCCACAGAACAAGTGAGCCACCGTTATCTCTTCAACATATCTACATTTTAAATGGAGTTGCTGCATAAAATGTGTTCATTCAAAACTTGATTAGAATTAAATATGTGGAAAGGTTCAAATTTTAGAACGCATAAATATGAATTTGTTTTTCATGCAAACAGCTATGTATAATATGAATTATATATATAATTATAAATTATACAATATAAATAATTAACAAATAAATAAGCATTGAAAATAATGACAGCATTTTGAAAACACAAAGTTAAAAAAATTCTTACAAAAACACAACAAAACACCAGATATAAAAAGAACACCAAAAATAATGACAATACACAGATGT